AGCACTTTCCCAGTTTCCAGTCTTTGTATTTCCCTCTAAGCTGTACGGCGTGACAGGTTTGGGCAGGGATTCCCACAGCTACACATTTAAAAATGAAATGGGAATACATATGTGTATCCACATATGTACATCATTAGCTGTCAGCTGCATTCTCGGATCATTTAGCTGGATTCAGGGGGCTTTCTTTGGTTAAATTCTAGCAGAATTCATTAACATTCACACAATAGATAGAAACACCAGCCAAGATCAGGCCTACATTGTGCTAGACTCTACCAAAACACGTAGCAAGAAAGAGAGAGCAATTCAAATAGAAAAGACAGGCAATGGGTGAAAGAAAATAGTATTGGTTCCACCTTGCAGGCAGTGAATATGGGCAGGGAATTTTAGGTCACGTATGGAGGTTTATGGCCGAGCTGTACAGAGAAATCTACATCTCTTCTGCTGCCGTGAGTTCAACAGAGAATGAAATATAAGAGCTTTCACATCATTTGAGCATTTTTTGTTTCTTTCATTTGAACAATTCGATTCCTTGTGTCTTGCTACTGTAGTACAGAAACATTGAATAGACCATTTTTACTTCTATGGGAAATCAATTACAATATTAAAATACCGCCAACAAAAACCAAAGAAACCAGGAACTCAAGGTTATTTACCTTAGATTCTTTCTTCTTCGCTTTCTGGGGCAAAGAAGGTCTCTGAAGAAATACAATTTGCTTTGTAGATAAATTCCCCTCCCTGAAAAGAAACAAATGCACACTCCTGAGAATGAATTAAATTCACATCCAGCATCATTCAAAGTAAAAATCCATCTCAGTCATTTATTTCTGCAGGTCAAAGGAGAACAAAATGAAGAATGACCTAAACATTGCCTGTCCCCAGTGTCTTTGAGCAGCCTGGTATTTTGGGGGGGAAAAAAAGCAACTGTTCAGCCTGATAGAGCCCGTCAGCCTGTGACATACTTTTGCTGAATGTTTTAGCATTAGTTTGTAAACACAGAATAAATTGTTTGGAACAAAAAGCAAGAAGCCCAAGTGCCCCGGTGCCTGTGTGTAGCAGCGTCTCAGCAACACCAGAGTGCTCCCTCTCTCCCTCTTGGGGCACCGATCCAGAATGGGGCTGGGTGCTCCCTACAGGTCTGCAGCACGGCAGGAGGCGCAACCAAATGCCACCAGCGGTTAGATTGGGTGGGTGCCCTTCTGCACCGTCAACCTGACCCGTGTTACTGAACTTATAAATGGGATACAGAAAGCTAGAAGAGAAAGAAAACCAGATTCACCTTTAAGAGACAGGGCTTACAAATCATAATTATGATTTTCCATTCATTCCTATATTTAAACATATATGAAAAACTTAAATACCATTTTTCCCCCAGCACAGATGGCCTTTACTTTTTAGGCTTTTATGTGGAGGAGTAGTCTTCATCTAAATCACATAAAGAACTGGGCATATTTTTACTTTTTTAAGATAAAAAAATCATGACTGATTATATTGGTGTATATATAAATATATGCCTGACCAGTGAAAATCCAGAATGCGCCATCTTCATGATTAACAAGTGGGATGATTATTTTTCACCACAGTTATGGAAAGTATTTTTAAATGACTTACATTTATATTTAAAAACTCAGAATTTTAATAATAGCAAAGAAGACCACAGAATGATTATATATGCGAACAAGGCTACTAGAGTAATGATACACCAATCTCACACAGTTCTGCCTAGCTAGACTGTGTATGCCAGCAGCATTAGACGAACATCTATTAAGAATAAAATTACTTTTCTTCAGATAGGCAACAAATGTTATCACAGGTTTTGTCTTTGCTCTAGGAGGGGTTACTGGGAGATCCAGAGCAGGAATTTTACAATCAAGGAGTTTACAGAGAGGCAGAGACAACACCCAGAAAATTCATGCAGAAACCACACTGCCACCTTGCAGTATTTTGCCCAGCAGACATGTGCTTCCCTGCCCCACGCGGCTTGTGGTGCTCCGAAACCCCTGAGAACAGCTGCAGCAGGGTTTGCAAGGGCACCTACTGCGCGCATGCGAGGAAATCCATGCTAGCTGCACGGAGAATTGCTTGTATGGACTGTGGTGCTCGTACAGCGACTTCCCTGGCCAAAAGGCAGTGCCCATCCCCTCCCTACCTGTTTGTCTTCACAATCGGAGTAGGAAGCACGCACGTCAGCTGCCAGCCGTACACGGCAAGGGAATTCAGCAGCGGAACGTAATCTGTCTGCACTTCAACTCCCTAGGAAAGAAAAATCAACAGTTAGCATCATCACTTAGAGCGCGACATTCAGTTTGACACACAAAAAAAAACCCAAGAAAAAATACGTGTGTGGGTTTTCTGGGAGGGAGAAAGGGTTTTTGTACTGAAGTGGGTCATTTTGTATGTTCAGCTAGGCAGGAAGGAAAATGTTCGAAAACATGAGACACAGGACCGATAGCCTGTACATCCCAAACTGTTAAATAAGTTTGCTTAAAATGGTAAACGTCTGTGATCTTGTTTTTACACTGCCTGAGTCATCCATCTAGCTTTAGATGATTCCAGATCTGAACAGGCCAAATTCATTGTATTTTATCAATTATCTCCACCCAAGCAAAAAGATATTCAAGTAGTTAAAAAATGACAACATTGCTTTGCTTGGATTCTGCTCTTGTCTAGGCTAGACTAAATCCTGAAGATCTATACTGAAATCAGTCAGGTTACTCTACCGTGATGGATCAAAAAGCAAAACGGGCAACAACAAAAAATAAAATACAAGTACAGGTCTATTCCTTTTATCACCCACAAATACGCATTGCTTCCTTGTTACTTTGAATCAGGAAATCTGTGGGCGAGACCAAAAACGTTGCTTTTCAGTGCAGAAGTCTGTCTCCAGCCGCAGATCTCCCTAGCAGACCCTTGCTAATTCTCTTTCTGCTGGATGGCAAACCCCGTAATTCGCACAGAAAGAACCACTGGTGATTCCAACAAAGATTGACACCAGTGAGGTGTCTAATTGCCAAGACTTTCAGTAATTTAACAAAGAGATGCTAGAGCATATTTACTAGTTTTGAGTTTTAATAAACACAAAGCAGGCAAATGGTAACTACTAGTCTCTACAAACATAGCTATATCCCTTTGCAATAACAATTATATTTGCCAAAAAGCTCAGGCACTTACACTGGTTTCACGTGCACGCAAGGAGTTTTAACTGCCAATTCTCAACACTGGGTAAGGCACAAGAGTTTTGCAGCTCCAAAAAAATCCATTTATTCCACAGTAATAAAATAGTCATTTGATCAGAACTAATCCAAATCCTGCTGTAGTTATTTCAAGGTATTTTAGTGAAATCCAGTCTCAGCTATTCCTTTCTTCTAACGAATGTAATTTAGGTCACTTGGTATCTTCATAACTGAATGACTGCCTGGCTATACCTGTTAAAAACCTGATCGTGACTACAAATGGAAATAGCTGAAGCAGCTGTATCACTCCTGCTTAAAAAGGAGAATGTTTAAAAACTCTACTCCAGAAAGTCCATGCAAGAGAACGCTCTACTAATGTTACTTCTGATTTCTGTACAGAGGCTTTCAGGGACTTTCAGAGATACTGCTACTTTACAACATCACCATGTACAGGCCAGAACTGCTGACTCCGGGAGGGGAAAGAGATGGCCTGCAAGAGGGGAGCAATACCACATGGCCTTTGACCCGTGTCCTCTGAAGCGATCGGGACTTGTCCTACAGCTGTGATCGTGGTAGATTCAGAGTCTCCTCAGATTCCCATTTCCCTCCGTAAGATGGGTATTTCCGCCCTCTTTCCAGTTTTTAAAATAGAGTGTCCGAGGGTAATGCAAAAATTATGACATATCTAGATGCTTTTAAGAGCGAATGTCTCAAGAAAATACATTAATAACACACTGAGATTTATGAGAATGGTCAACAACACCTTCCAAAAATAAAGACGAAAATATGCAACATGAACATTAAGAATAAGGTCAGAGCATCCACTATCACAAGCCTGCCGTGAGGCGCCTGGAAGAACACATAAAAGGACGTGACCAAAACATTCCCTCCATCGTACAGTGTTTGTAGAGGAAAAACCAGAAGGAGCTCATTCATTTAGAGGGTGGGAGACTAGCAGGTCAGGAAAGACCGGCACAGCAGATCTTGTTTGTGCCCCAAGCAACGTCTAATGTTGCAAAGAGGATTTCTATTTTGAATTCATTGCCTAAGGTTGGTGATTAGCAAGGAGAACCTTCTCCTTGCATCAGGATGTGCAACAAACGCCAAAAATCAGAGGGAGATTATGGCAATGAGGAAGGACATCAATACCACGCAGAGCTCATTTGGCTGCTGCAGAAGCCAAATTGTTACAGGGATGCGCCATCGCCCCTGCCACAGCCCGCTGTCCCTGCAGGCTCTGAGTGGCGAGACACGGCTGGCTTTGGACCTGTCTGACTTGTCAGGATTAAGCATCATCTGCAGCAGATGATGTATTTCACAATCCCAATGGGCAGAAGGGAAAAGAGCAAGTAAAGCACACTGAAAAGTGTAAAGTTATCAGAAATTAAATTTAAGGTTAAAGTCAATTAAGCTTAAAGAAAAATAAAAAATCTGGAAATGTAAAAAAACTCTGTTGAAAGAGTGCTGTACAACTGTTACAAAAAGATGACCTCTTATTTTTCATATGTGCTGGTACCTGACACTACAATCTGCGTGTCAGGCTGTTTGGCAGAAGGAAGCATGTACATTATGCAGAGGTGCACACCTCCTCCGAGCTCCACATGCTCTTTAACAAGCTCTCACCGACTCTGCACGACGCTTTGCTGGAGTCAGGCAGCGCACCTCTTCCTCAGGTCCCTGGGGGAATAAACTACTCCTAATAATTGGCTGCGTTTGAAGATGATAGACAAGAGAAAGGAGTCACTCCTGAATAAACAGGTGTAATCCATATGGGCTTCAAGCTCCTTACTTGCAAATACAGATAATTGAAGCTTTCTTTAAGACCACAAGAAATGACTTCTCCCTCCCCCTCCTGAATCATCGGTTGTAATCCTATCCCACGACTGGAATTTGTGTGCCAGCAGGAGTCACGGTTATACAGACCTTTAATTGGTGTCATATTAAATGCTTTCCAAAGCAAAAATGCTTCTAAACAAACAATAACTGGGGGATGGGTGCAGAGGAAAAGAGTCATCTTGTATTCATTTTACAGTTAATACAATTAAAATTATTTTATCTACTATTATTTGAGGCAATGGAAATAAAATTTCAAACATACAGTTTCATAAGATGAAATTGCAATGCTCTTTCTAGCTAGCAAATATTGGATTTGAACACCAGCAGAAGTAGAAAGTACGTGCCAGAGCTCTACTGAAAAAAAGTGTTCAAATAATGCGTCTCAAACGGGGAGACATTTCATTCAGTGAAAGGGTGGAAAATTTTAATTAACTTGCTTCCCACTCTCCTGTGGATGATAAGTAATCTCTGATCACACCTTGAGTGTCAAGAAGCCAGAGCATATTGAGTTAGGTTTTTCCCTTGACTTGCATCACATGAAAAGAATTCATTTTATTTATAGTTGTACTGTTTGTTTTCAGCATTTTCTCCTTGCACAGTTGCTTCCGCTCATTAGAAAAAAAATGATTAAAAAATGATAACGATAATATCTAGGGCAAACCACACAAACAACTGCATTAACAATTTTTCTTTTCTTTTTCCCCCCTACTGCGGCAATTTTAACCACAGCAAGATAATAAACAAGACAACTACTAAGCTCTTGTGAGACACAAAGAAGTTCTTTAGAAATCATTCTTTCCTGGGTTAAGTGACTGTGATTTAGTTACAAGGCAGCTATGGATTGTCACTATTTAATGTTTTTTTCCAATCTGGATTAAAGAGTGGAAGATTGACAATCCCATTAAATAAATCTTAATAAAACCTCTACTGGCAAATCCTAACAGACTGCGTACTGAGATCTACAGACAGATGGCAAAGAGGATGGGAAGTAAAAAACACGAGTCGCTTTGAAAGTGTAACCTACTGTTTGTGGGGAAAAAGGGGCAGTGCGTTCAAACCCAGCTCCTTACAAAAATAGAGGGGAGAGCCCATGAGAGTGGCAACGTGCACCCCCAGCCAGGGCTGGTTACCAGTCCCCACCACTGCCAAAGCCAGAGCTTTCTCCTAGGGCACTGAAGGGAGGAAGAGGAAGTGGCGAAGGCAGGACTTGCACCTTAGTGGAAAAGAGGGAAAATAAAATGAGAGAAATTGAATATATGGGCTGCCTGACAATGACCTGGTAAAAGCATGCTGCAAATGTTTTATCTTTGCAGTAACACAGCTGACAAGGAGACTAAATCCAAGCTCTAAATTTATGAATTATTTGCCTTTTTCCTTTTCAGACTTCTTCCAAAAGGTAATTTCTGCTAATAATATAACATTATCAATCCATTAAAAACACTTATTGGAAGCAAAAGAGAAGTTTCACAAGTGTTTCAGCAATAAAAGTTGGACTATGCTCCTCTAGTATTGAGCTGCTCCTAAATTTCCATGTGTAATACACCACAGCACCCTGCTAGCAGACACTTGCTACACGTCCATTAGCTGTATAGCAGAGGGGTGTGGGATGGCTCCTGCACCCTCAGAAACCACCAGTGGCTTTTGGCAGCAGATGGGTCACTGACCAACATAGACTAGCTGCCAAAGTGGGACCTTAGTGGAAAGTTAATAGAAAAAAAAGTGATAAATAAATCCACAGACAGGCTTTTTGCTCATTATTCTGGGCATATGTAATTTAGAGTTATTTATGATTACTAAATATATGTGAATTCATGCACTGTGAAACGTTTTTGAGAATATATAAGGCTGTAACACTATATGGGGTAGCATCCTGTTAAGGCAGTTTTTCTGCGATTCAGATGTATCCAGTCACAATTTCAATACACACATAGGCTGCTGAGTAGCAATCACCTCTGTCTCCACGTTTAGGGTAAAATAAAAAACAACCAAAAGACGCTCCTGTGCCCACAAAGCCCACTTCTCTCAGTGACTTCTGCCGATGCAAATCCTACTTTCTAGCGTATGTATAAACTAACAAAAACATTTGATGGCTCCTGATATTGCCCGCACCTGTAAACACAGAAGCACACTTGCACAGCAACACAATTTTGCATTTATTGAAGCACAGGATTGGTAGCAAAAGCTCCACAAGGTGAACGTGTTGACACAGAGGGTTCTCCACAAAGGAAGCACAGAAGCATCTTA